TTTTCTCATTTAGATCTAATAGAATGCAAAAGACAAATTAAAGCAAAAATTAAAAGAAGAAACTCCTATCAAACCAAACAATTTCCTAGTCTTTAAAGCTCACGAAGCTGCTAAAGGTCTTTTCTTCCACCTTTCTTCTACTCTTTTTGGCCATCTTTCCTTCTTCGGGTGCATTTGAAATTGTTGTGAAATACTGTGATTGTACTATACTGTAACTATCATTGAAAGTTATTTTGATATTTGATTATTTTTTTAAAAAAAATATTATAGATGAAATATGATAGATTTTATTAATTATTAATTAAAATTTAAAAGATATTGTAAGATATATAATTATTAAAATATATAATGTTTATTATTTTTTTAATAATTTAGGTTTCTTAAATTTTTTAATTATTAAAGTACTATAAATTATTTTGTAATTAAATTATATGAAATTAAGCTTCAATGGGTAATTTTTTTAATTATATTAAACATTAGATGTTCTCCGTAAAAGCCATAGACAAAAAGTTTTAAAATAAGATTTTTGACTTTATATATAAAATTATTGTAAACTTGCTGTGACTTTTTGTAATTTAAATAAAAACAGTTTGAAAAAAAATTACCAAATATACATATATCTAAAAATATTGTGTTGCTATCCAAAAAAACTCCCAACTGCAATCCCAAACACACCTTAAAAGTATCTTGTGGGTACACGAAAAAGCTCCCATCCCTAATCCCAAACACACCCAAAATTGTTGTAGATTTGTTATGGCTTTCTACAACTTTTAGAAAAAATAGTTTGAAAAAAATTATCAAACACACATATATCTAAAATCATTGTATGGCTACACGAAAAAACCCTTAACTGCAATCCCAAAAGCACACTTCTTCTTCGTTTTTGCTTTCTATTTTTCACTTTTTAGTCTCTTCCTCCCCTTTTTTCCTTTTTTATAAATTTAGCGGATAAAGCATGTAGAAGGAAAAAAGAAAGAAAAAGAACTCTTTCTCTGAGGTTGTGATGTTTATGATCTAAACCACGACATGAATGGAAATAGAGCTAATTAATTGATACTTAACATCTTAAAACTTTGGTTAGAAAATTAAATAATATAGTAATAATCTTCTTTTCATGAAAGAAAAGATTTTAAATTTGAGTTATAAGAATGTAAATTAATTGGAGAAAAGATCAGACTAAAAAAAGTGCTTACTTTCCATTATCCACACTCAAAATAAATAAAGCAGCAGAAACATTAGAATATAAAGATTTTAATTTGCGTAAGGAAGGTTGCAGAGACTTCAATTGATCGATCTGACTTAATGAATTTATTTTGTATTGAATCATATACCTAACTAGTTTTTGTTTTGTCCGTGCGTTGTACGGATTTTTTTATTTTTATTTTTTATATTAGAGTTTAGATTTTTTTTATTTTTTATCAATTCTTGATTTTTATAATAATT